TTATAGATTGGATATTCGATCTACAATTTAGAATATTGGATATTAATTGTTGGATTTTGGATATCCTATATACGAAAAATATCCAAAATATTTAGGATTTAGGATAATAATATCTTGTTAAAAAAAATTATTATTGGTTACATTTTCTTCTAATATTATTAAAAATTCAAAATTAATAATACCTACCATCTAAAGTATTTCGGATGTCGGGTAACCAACTCAAAAAATTTCGAATATCAAATAATTCCTTAATTCACTTTGTAATATCCTGTATTTTTGTATTATTTAATACTTGTATTTCATAAATTAAAATGATTCATTTTATTTTAAAAATTAATTATTTATTATTACACAAGTGTGTATAAATTAAAATGAGCAATTAATTAAGGCAACTAGGTTTTTATTTATTTTTTATTTATTTTTTATTAACAAAAGGGAAACTAAGTATTTTAATTTGGTTTGAAATGATTTAAAACATTGGACTAATTTGTTGGGAAAAAAGAGAATTTTAAAGGCCCAACAAACTAGCCCCAAGTGAGACTTTGAAAGGGAATAAGATTTAGTAATGGCAAGTTTGTAAATAAATGATTTTTGGTTTTAAAAGGTGATATATATACCCCAAAAGGTCAAGAATTTTTCACTCAAAATCAATTTGTTAGATTTCATAAAAAAAAACCCTAAAACTTTCTCCTTATTTTCTCTCTCTTCTTTTTCTCTCTTTCTCACACCTCTCTCTCTCTCTCTCTCTCCTCCGTTCACCACCGACGACCGACAGCCACGCTGGCCACTTGCACCCTGCCGACGACTAGTAGCAACCGCCAGCCACCGGCGACCGTCCGTCACTCTTCCTTGTCTCTTTCTCCTTTTTCAGTTTTTGTAACAAAAGGGAAAAAAAAAATAAAAAAAAAAAAAAAAAAAAAAAACTCTTCTTTTCCTTATATTAATTTTAAAGCTAGTTAGATTTAATTATGAGGCATGAATTTAATTATGATTTGATGTTGTTTTTGGACAGTTGATGTTGTTAAATTATTATAGTAATTAGGAGGCATGATATTGATGGTTATGGTTAGGGTTTGATCTTAGATTGTTGTGGTTGATAATGTAATGATTTGAACATATTTTTTAAATGAGTTTTAAGTCCTTAATTAATGCTAGAAATTTATTATACACACTAATTTTCAATTATTATGTTAGGGTTTAATTACCTATAAATGGGAAAAAGTTTTCAATGACTTAAATATGATTTTTTGGTTTATTAGTGATGTTTTATATAAAATAAGTATGCTGGAATTTTATTTAAGTCCTCAAAAGTAAGTCTTTTTTTAAACAGTTTTAAGTACCCACTAAAAGAAAAGGTTTTAAGGTTTTTAAATTATTAAATTGGGTTAGTTAGTGAGGTTTAAATAATTAAATAGTTGCTTGAAATTTGTGGGAATAGTGAATTAATTGTGGTTATGTATTTTTAATTGTAGGAAGTTTCAAGCTAGGTGACTTCTAACGAGTGTGGCCGAGTTTAGGCAATATTCAAGGTATGTATGCGCGTAAAACTAATTGTGTATGCGTAGTATCATTCTAAGAGTTTAAAGTATGTATCAAGTGATGAATTAGTAGCATGTTTGGTTAATAAATGCTTGGAATTGATGCGGGTTGATTATGATTTTTTATGAAAGCATGTGAACATGTTATTTGAGGCATGATACAAGTTGAATTATGTATGAATCATGATAGTATGTTTTATCTTCAAGTATCAAGGAAGCATGAAATTATTGAGCAAGAGTTATATATGTTTAAAAGAGTTATGATTATATTTATTGAGCATGATTAATGATTTATTCTCACCCATATATTATTGGAGTAGAGCCAAGGAAGTGAATTTAATTACTCACTCACATAAGTTAAGGTTGAATCAACGAAGTTTATTAGTGCATTTTATGCACCAAAGAATAGTTCAATTTTGTGCACAAAACTAGGCAATGAACCATAATTAAAATAAATTGTATGTACTCACTAACTGATGTTTCGGGATTTTTGGAGTCCCTCGGGAGAGTTACAATTCCGGGAATGCTTGCCGACCGTCTGTACCTGCAAAACCACGAAACTCTGGTTGGGTGGAGTTCCGCCTCCGACGATCAAGTTAGAACATTTCCGGATGTATAACTGTGCGGAAAGTAAAGGATTTTCTCTCTGATTCAGAGAGAATTCGACAATTAATATTGCTCCGTTTTTTGTGTTTTATTTATGAATCTGTAATACATGGGGATTTTCCTCAATTTATAGTGGATGGGAATTAGTCCCCCTTTTTAGGGTTAAGAGGCCACGTGTCAGCAGGGGATTGGATCCCATTGGGCCTCTCTGAGGCTAACACGTGTCAGCATGCCATTAGGCCACGTGGCATAGGGTAATTTTTACCCTAAACATTTGCCCCTCATAGGTGTGACGTAGCTTGCCACGTGGCACCTGTGACAGGCGTCACATTCTGGGAAGCTGACGGTTTGTCTCCTTCCCTCCATTTTTTTTTGAATTCGAATTTCGAATTAGAATTTGAAGGGGAGGTGACGGTTCGCCATCTACCTCCTTCTATAAATAAAAACCTTCCTCCTCTCATTTTCACACTTTGCAAATTGTCATTTCTGAGAGAATTTATGAGAGAATGCTCTGATACCGGCTGCTCTTTTTGTGCCAAAAAACTTCCATCTTTCTCTCATCCGGTTTCCGTCTGAGGGTTCCTTGCTCAAATATCTCAGACGCCGCCTGACCTTAGTCAAGCTTCTTTCCTTACTTTCAATATACCCACAGCCGGTCTTTACCGTCTTGGGCATCTTCAAGCCATTTTCTTCAAAACCGCCTGACCACCCGTTAATTTTCTCTAGCTCTCAATACACCCACAGCAGGTCACTACCGTCTGGGGTATCTTCTAGCCATTCTTTAGAGAAACGGTTGGGTCTTTTGCAAATTTCAGTTGCTCTTCAAAGGGGTACATCCGGGACACCGTCTGGGGCATCTTCAAGCAACAAAGAAGATTTCCGGCTGCTAACTTCAAGAATTCAACCGTCTTCAAAGTTCATACAACCTCAAGGTACCGCCTCTGCCCCTTGCAACTTTTTTGAGTTTTTTCCGATTGTATAGGTTGTTAGAGAATAATGGACTCACCCAACACACAGACGGCACGAACTAGGACAGTTGTCTACCGGTCACTGGACACGGCTGAATCTAGGACTAGGAATGCCGTCTGAGGGTGTTTGGACCACCCTTACTCTTCTACGAATCCGACCGTCTCTGTTCATATGCAGGACAAAATGGCTCGGACTAGATGGACGGCTGTAGACCCTTAATATCAGTCAGGTGATTCAGCCGAAGCTCCGGTTGATGATGTACCTTATGACCAGCAGGGCTTACCTAGCACGCCCGGAGATGAGATATTGGAGGAATCCGGGAGCTCAGACGGCGAAGAGACCGTCCAACAATCAGACTCCATTAAGTTAACTATGGAACCAGATGCCCCTCAAGAGGACGACGAGGCATGTAATTGGCCCTCAATAAACAATCAAACAGAGGCGCATATGAGCGCCCGGGACGTGGTCACCCTGAACGCAACCCTTGTGGCATTTTTAGAAAAGCGTCCGGTAGGGGCCGGATGGGAAATTGTCGTGCCGCCTGTAGAGGCAACCGTCGTCTAGGATGACGTTTTAGATCATGCCGATGATTACTTCGTCTGCTATGAGGCGCAATTCAAAGCCGGTCTCCGGTTCCCCCTCCATAACACAATAAAGGCCATTCTAAGGTGTTACGACCTTGGCGTCTGGCAACTAACACCCAACTCATGGGTGAACATTCTTGGATACATCGCCGCCTGCGAGATGCATGACATAACGCCTAGATGGGAGGCGTTTGCACACATGCATTACCTCAGCCGTGCCCCAAGCGGCTGGAATGTGTGGTATACGTTGACCACGCATCCGGAATATATGACGACGCTAGAAAAGCCGTCTAAGTGGAGCAGCTGGAAGAGCAAATTTTACATGGTCTCTTCCCCTTCTCCGTCTATTAACCACCGGCTGCGTCGTTACAACAAACACCCGACTCTCCTGGGAAAAAGTGTGCCCTTCCCAAAATACCGGAGAGAGCCTGGGACCAAATTATGGAGATGAGTCTTTTCAAGAAGACCACCTTTCCTCTGGATGATGGGACATAAGTCATTGTCCCCAAATACTGGGTCCCTCATCCGGATTGGCTTAAGGACGAGGCGTTCCTTTCCGCCTGTGGCCTTAGCACCTTTTGGAACAAACGTATGTTAACTGTTAACCGGCGCTTTTTGCCGTCTGTATGATGCTTGAATAGTTTCTGATTTTGTATTCTTCTTTGCAGAGAAAGGACTGGAAATGGTTCCTCCGGAAAAAACTCCGGCTAAGTCAGCCGCTGAGATCCGGAAGGAGCAGTTGGAGAAGAAAAGGGCCCAGCTGGCGGCCAAAGATGATGGGGTAAGCACCGGCTGATCTTTCTACCGCCTGTATTATTTTTAGCTCATTTCGATACTAATCGGTTGTGCTGTTTTCTTTTGCAGACGAGGAGCAAGAATATTTCTCGCTCCGTTAGGCAGATGCTGAAAAGGCCAGGAGAGGTGCCTTCCCATCCTGCTTCTAAAAGCCAGAGGGTTCCGGCTGCCACTAGACGAAAAAGGTAATTTGGCACCGGTTCAAACCCCCCCTAAGGCACCGGTTTTGAATTGTTGGGGATTTTAGGGATACCAAATCCTCAAATATTCGGCACCGGTTTAAAACCGGTGCCAACTTCAAAGGCGCGAATTTTTTTTTATTTTTTATTATCAACACTATTGGCACCGGTTTTAAGCAAGAATTAGTGCAAAAAACCCCACTTTTGGCACCGGTTCTGGTCCAAACTGGTGCCAGAAATACCCCAAAAAAATAAATATTTTTTTTTTTTTGCATTTTTTTCACTAAAATTGATATAGAAACATTAACATATATATAAAGTTACATATTTTCATTAAAAAGGCTGTAATATTACAATTTTCGTCCGAATAAAATTAATTAATATTACAACCTCGCAGCCCACCAAAACAGCAGCACCAAACCACACCACTACTGTACAACACCCAAATTAGTAGCCCAACTAGTGCAGAGCAGACACCAGTAGGTCCCTGAAGAACAGCAGTCTGACAGCACCAGCTGAGTAGAAAGCTTCAAGGATCGGCCCATAAAACCTAGCACTCAGCAACACAGAATCAGAGCAAAGCAAATAAGCAAAACCACAACTGAAAAAACTGACCAGACCAAACGCAAACAACATCATAGCAGAAAAGAACAGTCCCAGGGTCACAGAAACACAAACTACACCAGAGCAAAGACACCAGCACAGTTGCCACCATATCAGAACCAAGCTCAGGAACACTGAACAGCTACACAACAGGCCAGCAAGTAGACAGACCATAGCAAACCAACAGGGACAGAAAAAACAGAAGCTCTGAGCAAGCACAGGAACAGTCAAACAACCCCAACACACTGACTAGCTCAGCATCTCAGTAGAACACAGCCTGCAACAGCACACAATAGACAAAACAAGAGCTAGAGAAACAGCAACTCAACCCAGCAGATAGAAAAGACAGACTCATGGCATGAATCAAAGCTGAACAGACTCTAGAACACACGCCAAATCCAGAATTCAGCAAGGCACACAGAGAAGAAACAAATAGAAAAATAGGCCACCAAGAAAAACAGGTGTAGAAGAACAAGAGCATGAATCAGGCCTTCCCTTTCCTATTTTACCTCCTGAATCTGTTGACGACATAGATAGGAAAGAACCCACAAACACCTCCTCCGACTATTTTCCTCCACAATTTTCCTATGTTCTATGTTCACTGTTGTACAATAAACTACATATTTCCTTCTCTACATGCCGTCTTTAAAATACTTATGTGGATTTAATGACCTTGACATAAAATATGATATTGAGGCCACCACAAAAGCTGAAGAAGAGCACGAAAAACTAAATATTCGTAAATCATAGGAAAAAATACTCACGACAAGTTATAAGCAGAGCACGTCATAGAATTTCTATTATATTTATAAAGAAACAAGGCAGTCTAACTTCACCTAGACCATTTCACTGATACAATTTAGACCTCCTGGCCCAATCACCAAGGAGGTAGCCAACAATAACCTGCATTTCAGTTATGAGAGCCAAAAATATTGACAATACTACTCAGACAGCCATGAATTAGAGGTACACCACTTTAAACAGCTCTATCACCACTTGGTTCCCATAGAAAAAGGACAGAACAACATATTTGCTATTTCAAATAACATCGTAGGAACTATATATTCTCACTCTTACATCATTTTATCAGCAATGCATTAAGTAAAGAAAAAACCCATCCAAGTATAATCTAAGAAACAAGATCAACTATCCCAGCTAAGCACATGTAGCTATTTGTCACAGCCCACTAAGGCAAAATACAGAACCAGTACCACAATACTATTTTACCACTCCAATCGCATTACATGTATCCCTAATGTACTAATAGATCCACCACCAGATCAAAGTAATCTAGAGAGAGAAAATTAAAATAAAAATAAAATTAGAGAGAGAAAGCAAATCAAGTGGACAAACCAAGTAAAAATCAGTGATAAAAAAAGCAAGTACATTTCCTCTCTGACATCTTCGATTCTAGAGTTGAATCCCTGCAAGTACATAGTAATAAAAAATCAATGAAATATATGGGATTGATCACCAATCACGGTAGCAAAGCCGAGAGCCAATCCAATGGTTGAGGAGGCAATTGACATGATGGCTGCCAAGATAGAAAGCCATTTCATGTTGTGGAAATCAGGTGTCTAAGACATTATGATCTGAACACATCCAAATAGCAGCATGTAAATGCCATCTCCATAAGAACAAGATGCTTGGTGCCCTTCTTTATGGTAGCAGTTTGATTTTTGAATAGATCTGTATCATTGGATTTTATTCAAGTGGATCAGAGACTCGGAAGAGGATAGACTAGCTTGCTTAATTAGACTGATTTTTTTTAAAAAAAATAAATAAAAGAAAAAGAAAAAATATGGACCATTCTGTACCAATGAACTAACAATTAAGCTAATAAATATAAAGCATTCTCCGTGGAGATGGCATTTACATGCTGTTGTTTAACCTCAAATAGATTGCAATCTCTAAGCTACAAGTCATTTGCTACTGCAAAATCTTCTCTCTTAGAAATTACTTTCTTTCACCCAATAGCCCAAGACTATGTTAAGCATAGGATCTACTGAAAGTATTAAGTTAAATACCCCACAACTAAGTTCACACATTTGAACAACACTTTCCAAAAAATCAAACAAAGCGATATAATATCTAAACATTAATCTCACCATATGATGTTGAGTAAGATATCGAACAGTGTCACGAACACCAGAAGATATAAGATTCGAGGTAAAACCTAAAAACACTTTGCACCCCACAGATTCCCTATAAACAGGATCCTTCTCTTCCTTTCTGCAATCTTCATCGGGTATTTCATTTGCCAGCCACCAATCTAGATTGAACCACACAAAATACACAAATGAACACAAAATGAAAACGAGCAGAACAACACCTAAAATTAATAAACAGCTTAAAACTCAAACTAACCATTTGATTTACAACATCGATAGCATCACCAAGATTAGATGCTTGGAAACCGGTTGAGACGAACGATTTCAAAAGCTTGGGATAGTTCACTCCTTGATTAAAATCATAACCCTCAATCTTAATACATTTCCCTTCAAGGCTTTCTGATTCCTTGAACACCATAGAATGAAACGACGCCATTTATCATTATTATCCATATCTCAACACCTAGTACAGTTTATTACCTCAATTAAAATTAATGAATTGCTTCTCAATTTCTCACTACATAAACATTACAAAATTTTTACAAAAACCCAATTTAAAAGCTAAATGAACCATATGAAATGAATTGCTCAAAGAATCTCAAAAGCACAGAATACTTTAGATTAATAATTGAGGAATAAAAAATCCCAAAAAAAAAAACGAAAAAAGGGTATTTGTAGATAAAGCAATGCAATTCACAATGGTGTAGGGTAAATAAGAAAGAGCATAACTTTAAAGAAAGAAAGAACACGGAGAAGGAGTGCATTACCTTGCCGCAGAAACCCTAACCTCCAATATTGTAGAAAGATAGAAGGAGATCGAAAGAGAGAAGAAAGGAAAGGGAAAGTGGCGGTTATGGATAAGGAGATCGAAGGAGAGAGATGGAGTGTTAGGAAAGTGCTGAGAGAAAGCTCTGAAGTCCCTTCAATGGAGAAATTCAAGTATGCTACAATGGAGGAGAGAGAGAGGCAGATTAAATGAGAAGAGGAAAGAGCAAGGACATGATGAAGAAGAAGACGCGCATTATAAACCGGGCTTTTTTTTTTAATGGTACCGGTTCAAACCGATGCTAATTACTAAAGTTCGCACCGGTTTAAGGCGAACCGATGCCAACTCTATTGCTTTCTTTGTTTTTTTTTTTTCTGTTTTTTTTAAGGTTGGCACCGGTTTGAACCGGTGCTAATTAAATGAGTAGGCACCGGTTTTGGTTAGAACTGGTGCCTAATCCCTATTTTCCAATCCCACCCTTTTCTTTTGGCACCAGTTTTCAAGAACCGGTGCTAAAGAGGGGGTGCCTATTTGATTTTTTCTACTAGTGTGCCCCTGCTTGCTCCTGAGAGGCCTACCTCAGCAAGCAAAAGCCTGAAAGATCTAGGCTTAAGCTGTAGGGTTTCGTAGAGACCCACTCTACGCGGAAGGAAACCCACCAAGACCCGCCACGATAACTAAAGCAATTAAAGCATGCAAAACATAATTAACACATAATTAAGAGAAAAAGGGAGAAAGAATTATACCCTAGACGCGTGCTTCGCTCACCAAAAGAGCTCTTACTTGAACCCCGCAATCACAAGGTCTCCGACGGCTCGTACCCACGAACCCCGACCCGAGTGATCCAAGTCCCGAAGGTTAGTCAAGACCCGATCTAATAAAAAAGGAGTTTTACGAACTTAAGGCTTTCTCAACTATTGGAGATACCTTTTGAGTTCTACTCAAGTTGTGTATTCTCAAAATCCCAACCAAGGGGTATTTTTAGGAAATGGGGACTTGAATCCCATTTCATGATCAATGTGGGATCATGTGCAATTGCACTAATTTATTTAATTCTAAAATAAATTATTAAACAAATGCACACTACTAGAAATTGGCCAATTTACGACGGACAAGTTCCGACGGACATGAAATCCGTCGGAAAGTTCCGATGGAATTAAAATCTGTCAGAAATTTACGACGGATTTCCTACGGAATACAAATCCGTTGGAATTAAAAGGTTTTCCGACGGAATATTCCGTCGGAACAGTAATGTTTCGACGGAAATAAAATCCGTCGGAAATTTCCGAAGGATTATTCCGTCGGAACAGTAATGTTTCGACGGAAATAAAATCCCTCGGAGATGTTCCGACGGAATATTCCGTCGGAACATCTATTTTCCGGCAGAAATTAAATCCGTCGGAAGTTTCCGACGGAATTTTCCGTCGGAAAATATTTACATAATAAAAAAAAAACCTAACAAACACTAATAATAAAAAATAAAAAAAAACAAAAAAAAAACCCTCAGCGCCTCTCTCCTCCCTCATTTCTCTTTCTCCTCTTTCATTTCTCTTTCTCTCTCCTGTGCGCCTCCCTCATTTCTCTTTCATTTCTCTTTCTCTCTCCTGTGCGCCTCTCTTTCCTCTTCTCTTTCCCCTTCTTTTTCCATCAACGAAAATCACAAAAAATCAATATTTTTAATTCGATCTCCCTCCTCTCATGCTAGTTCAAGCAACTTCGAGCGAAAATCCGAGCAACTCGATCCAAATCTCAGCAATTCCAGCCAAAATTCGAGCCATCAACAACATGTTCGTTCGTTAGAGGAATTTTATTCGTTTTTGTAGATTTCCGATTTGTATTCTGTTTTTTGTATTAACTTGCATAGATCTGGTTTGAATATAATTTTTGTTCAGATTTGTATTCGTTCGTCTGCTCTAATTTGTATAAAATACGATTTTTTTTCAATTTTTTTTCGGATTTGTATTTTTTTTCAAAACTTTTCGTTTTTTTTTTAAAATTTTGTCGTCTGGGTTAGCTAGGGTGGTTCTGTGGTGTGGGTTATGGTTAGGTAGGGTGGTGGTGGGTCTGGGTGGGTTAGTTGTGGGTCAGGGTTATTGGTGGGGTGGTGGGTATGTGGTATGGGTTAGTGGTGGGTTGGTGGGACTGGGGTTATTAGTGGGGTAGTGGGTTGGTGAGCGTGGGGCTGGGTGTTGGTGGGTGTGCGTGAGGGTGGGGCTGGGTGTGGGTGGTCTAGAAAGGAGGGGTGGTTTGGGTGTGGGTGGGGGGTGGGGGTGGGGATCTGGGTAAGTTAGGAGCTAAGGGTAGGGGGCTGGTGGTGGGCTGGGGTGGGCTGGTGGTGGTGGGGCTGGGTAGGGGTAAGGGGGTAGGGGGTGGGCTGGTGGTGGGGATCTGGGTTGTGGGGGTATTGTGGGTGGTGGTCTGAGGTTGAGGGTAGGGGGGCAGAGGGTGGGCTGGTGGTGGGGGTGGGGTGGGGCTTTTTTTTTATTTAATTTTCCGACAGAATTTTCCGTCGGAAAATACCGCCTCCGACGGAATATTCCGTCGGAAAATCTACCCCACCGACGGAATTTTCCGTCGAAAAATATCCCACTCCGACGGAAAATTCCGTCGGAACCTTGCGTCGGATTTACACTGAATGTCAACAAAAGCGTCGACAGAACAAAATCCGTCGGAAATTCCGTCGGAATCGACCTTTCCGACGGAATATCGCAATATACCTGCAAAGGATCTTCCGACAATGCATTCCGACGGAATTCCGTCGGAAATGGGCATTTCCGACGGAATTTCAGGGTTTTCCAACGGATTTTTTCCGTCGTTGATTGACTGTTTTCTAGTAGTGGCAATCACATAGCAACAAGTGGTAATAGGAGATAATAGGTTAGGTGAGGACCATATCCCATGGGGGGAAGGGAAGCCTTGAGGCCTTAGTCCCCACCTCTCCTAAACCACCACTCACAAGGGGCAGCTGGGCTGGCAGCCAGCTAGCACGCTAGCACACACCAGCCAGCTAACATTGCAAGCACGCACTGACCCCACCACATCCAGCATATACGTGCTGCGAGCTGCTGGGTTGCTTGGCGCTGGGCGCTGCTAGCGTAGTGCTGCTGCCTAGCCAACGCACACACACATGTACAGCCTTGTTGGTTGGTGCGTAGTGCTGGCCCCGGTCTCTCGCACACACATCGCATAGCCAGCATGCGTGTTGCTAGCGAGCCACGCATGCTGGGCATTGCCTCGCCAGCCACACGCACAAGCACTCTATTGCTTGGTGCTGTGCTAGCGATGCACACGCACATGACGATGTTTCCTAGTGTTGTGCTATGTGCCACGATGGTGCGATGAGCTGTGCAAAGGCACACACGCACGCACACACGCTAGTGCCTAGCATTGTGATGGTGCTGTGCTGTGCTAAGGCACACACTCTAGTGCCTAGCACTGTGATGGTGCTGCTATGTGCGTCTAGTATGCAAGGTGTGCCTAGAAATGCATTGTGTATGCTATCTCGAGCTAGCCTAGTGTCCACATGGTTAGGCCGTAGTGATGCAACGGCTGCGCTCGAACTTGTTGCTTGTGATTTTGCGATGCTCGGTTTCTACGCCCTAGGCTCGATATCCGACGTCTGTATTCGTAAAACTCTGAAGACTCATCGAATCCTTCGGATTGATTCGTCGTCTCGGATCGGTTGTTCGATTGGGTTCGACCCAAAGGGTTCAGTTAAGATTAAGCTTAATATTAATTGTACCTTAATATTACTGATCGGAAGCGACCTCCACCTAGGCATTCCGATCACTTGACCTTATTGAAGAATTAGCTTTGTAATAATTCTGAACTGTCTATTAGAATAATACACTTTTTGGAAGGACACCATTCCTTTCAATCTCCCACTTGTCCTTCGGGACAAGTGTGCATACAGTATATAGCCCATTTCCTATGTCGCTTAATGGTTCTTGAACCATCTGGTAAGATTCATTGTCATCCTTATTACGATTAGAAGTGTTTCTCGATTTCCGAGTTCGACTGTCAATAAGAAGATGATTTCTAAAATCCATCTGAGCACGGCCATGCATTTTCACAGTCTCGCTCTTCGAGCGGCCTTGTAAACAACTAAGACATGTTCCCTATTGTTAATAGGGGGACATTCCCAGTCTTGTATTGTAAGTTTCTCTTACTTAGAGGACTTAATCTCCCGAGTGTTCACGTTATGATCCACAGTTACGGCAGACGTTAGGCAACATCAAAGAGACTAGTACTCAAACAAGAAAACTTCACAATACTTATGGTTGAGAAAATAGGTTTCGATAGCTATAATGAGAAATGTACTTATGAAAATTTTGAATCTCTTAAATTACTCTCATAGGTCTATCCAGTGCAGTTCTAAACTAGCACCTGTGTAAATGATTGTGACAATTACGTCCTTGCAGCACATGAAACGGTGATGTAAATCATACTACACACTTATCTCTAGTGTTCATCAATCGTCCATCAGTAAGATGACCTTGATTAGGGACAACTTTCGACTTAAAAATTCAATGTTCACTTAACTAGTGTTTCTTTATCCAAGACATGGTCTTGAAACCCTGTTTTGAATATTTCCATAAATCGAATGGACTCATTATTTAATTCTAAACCACAATTAAATAGCAATGGAGTGAATAGAATTATAAAATTCATTACTCCATAAATGAATGGTTTCAACACAGTGTCTTACATTAAAACGTCTAGTTTAATTAAAAAACATGTATAAGGAATTTCAAAGCCAATCTCCAACGTGCTTTATTCCCATTGCCTCAATGTGATTGTTGTGCTTCACTTGAGGCAGAGGTTTAGTCAAAGGATCGGCCACATTATCATCCGTTTCGATCTTGCAAATTCTGATTTCACCTTCGGATTTTCATTCCATTATCATGTGAAATTGCCTCTGGACATGTTTGACCTTCTGGTGCTCTCTTGGCTCTCTAGCCTGAGCGATAGCTCCATTGTTGTCACAGTAGAGATCTATCGGACCCTTGATGGAGGGTACAACACCAAGTTCACTAACGAACTTGCGAATTTAAACATCCTCCTTAGCGGCTTCTGAAGCTACCAAGTATTCGACTTCAGTTATAGAATCTGCAGTGGTGCTTTGCTTGGTACTCATCCAGCCAAACGCTCCTCCATTTAGGCAAAATATGTACCCTGACTGTGATTTAAAGTCGTCTCTGTCAGTCTGGAAGCTAGCGTCGGTGTAACCTTCAGCAACCAAATCTTTGTGGCCACCATAGACCAGGAATTTATCCTTGTTCCTTTTCAGATACTTTAGGATATTCTTGGCCGCAGTCCAATGCGCCTCTCCTGGGTTTGATTGGTATTGGCTCGTAGCGCTTAAAGCATACGATACATCCGGCCTGGTACATATCATGGCATACATGATCGACCAAATTAGCGAAGCATATGGAATCTGATCCATTCTCTCTCGCTCAACAGGTGTCTGTGGACACTGTTTCTTGCTGAGAGTCACGCCATGGGACATGGGCAGGTGCCCTCTTTTGGCATTCTCCATGTTG